CATAAGCGTATGCAGTGCATCCAAATATTCTTAGATTAGAGTAATCAAAAGCTTTACCGGACCATACCTCTTGAGGAGTCTTTAAGTCAATTGCAGTTGATGGAGATCTATTAACCAGATAGCTAGCAGTGTTTACTGCTTCAGCCCAGAATTGCTTAGATAAGCCAGCAAATATGCGCATACACCTAGCACGCGCCATGAGAGTTTGGTTCATTCGCTCTGCAACTCCATTTTGCTGTGGTGTGAGTCGTACAATGCGGTGCCTTACTATACCTTCTTTCTTGCAGAAATCATCAAATGGAGCGTTGCAGAACTCCAACCCATTATCAGTTCTTAGAGTCTTGACCTGTTTACCCGTCCGTTTTTCAACCATGGTCTTCCACTCCTTGAACTTCCCAAATATCTCATCTTTAGTCTTTAGAAAGTACAACCACACTTTTCTCGAATAATCATCTATGAAAGTGACAAAGTAAGAACACCCGCCCTGCGATTTCACCGGAGAGGGACCCCATAGATCTGAATGAACATACTCCAGAATTTCTTTTGAAGTGTGATGACCGGTACTAAACCTCATCCTGTGTTGCTTCCCTTTGACACAAGCCTCACAGAATTGAATTTTACCTATCACATCCCCACCAAATAAACCCTGCTTGCTCAATACAGACAATCCTAGCTCACTCATGTGACCTAATCGCCGGTGCCACAAATTTGTCTTGTCATCATGTTTATCCAAGGATTGGGATACCGCCGCCGTTCCCATCACTGAACTGCCCTGTAGAAAATAAATTCCATACTGCAGTTTTCCCTTCATCATTACCAAAGCACCTTTCAGGACTTTCACCCACTCACCTTCACCATGATATTTTAAACCATTTTTGGCTAAGGTACCAAGAGAAATCAAATTCTTTCTGAGTTCAGGAACATACCAACAGTCAAATTTCCTGACAGTACCGTCATGCAATTTTATCGGCACTACCCCGCTCTCTTTTATGGCTAGAACCCCATCATCACCTAACTTCACCGTTCCATTCTACTCCTTAAAAGAAGTGAGTAGATCACGAGAGAACGTCATATGGTGAGAAGCACCGGTATCCATAATCCAGGAATCAGCAGTACTAGCACTACACGCTGTCAGAACTTCACCAAAGTCCCCATCATCAGAACTGTCTTGTACCACAGCAGCACTGCTGCCACTGTTACTAGAATCAACTTGTGTATTTCCCTTCTTTTGTGGACAATCCCTTTTAACGTGCCCTTTCTCCTTGCAAAGATAACACTTAACTTTGCTAGAGGATTTTGATTTTGAACGCGACCTCCCATTCCCGTTACCCCTCTCATGTGGTCTTCCCCTACCTGCAAACAGACCTGAACCAGAACCCTCTTCCAGATAAACCTTTCTTTTCAATTCTTTGGACATAAGGGCATTTTTCACATCATTAACAGAAATTGTAGTTCTACCATATAGCATAGTATCTACAAAATTCTCATATGAACCAGGTAGTGAACACAGTAAAATTAGGGCTTGATCTTCATCATCTACTTTAACCTCAACTCCTTGAAGATCAAGAATGATACGGTTAAAGGTATCAAGATGATCCTTTACCTGAGTACTTATCGGACATCCGGAGGGTGTAAAGACGTTGCTTCTGATATAGCCTGTTCGTGAGAGAGTTGTTTTGGTACTTCTCACATAGTTTATTCCATAACCCAAAAGTCGTTGTCTGATCTACAACCTCCCGTAACACCTCATCAGTAACTGACAACAAGATCGCGGAATGAGCCATTGCCAAAATCTCCTTATTTACCTCCTCCTTCGTGTCTTTAGGGAACTTGTCTTCTCCCTCCAACGCAGCCGCACATCCTTGTTGAACCAGAAGTGCCCTCATCTTGACCTTCAAGAGCGTTAAGTCATTCGACCCATTAAACTTCTCCAGATCAAACTTATACTAGGACATCTTCAATTAATGATATATGGCTCTGATACCACTTGTTATGAGAAAACGAGAAAGAAAGCAAATAAAGAACACAGATGTTTTACGTGGTTCGGTGACGGTGTGTCAACCTACGTCAATAGGCAGGAACCAGAGAGATTTTATTATACTGATTCAGAGATTTACAATATGTCATCCGACTAAGAACCATAGTTGTCTATTTATAAGCACCCCAAAACACCTTAAACCTAAGCCTATTTGTTATTAATTAGGATAAGCCCAAAAGGAACCCTGCCAATTGAAACAGCCCTTTCGCTTTGGTTTAAAGTCGGGTAGACCGCTAAATCCAAGTCACATTTCAACAAATTAATTTATATTAACTAATATTTGTAATTAATTTTAATGTTATCTTATATTTAATATGGCAAAAGTAAACATATTGAGTAAGTTCATTCACAATTATTTTATAATGAAACAATTTTTCATAAATATTATTAAAAAATACAAAAATACAAATATTAATATAATATATATTATTCACTCATCATTTCCATACTACATAAAAAAAATAAATTAATTAATCTAAAAACGTTAGTGAATAAACTCATTGTTTTCTTTTAGTTTGAAATTGATTTATAATAAAATATTTATTTGAATTTTTATTTATATAATATTTTTACGTAACATTTTATGAAAGAAAATAAAATTCCGTCTAATCAGACAAATCCTCGGTAAATAATTAGTTTGTCCATTTCATAGCCCGGTCCACTAAATTGGCCCAACTCCTTTAGTCCACCCATATCCTAAACCTATCCTATTAGTTAATTTGTTATGCTATTTTTTTATTTTTTTTTTATAGAGAGAGTTACATTTGAGACAATTTGTTTTTTTTTTTTGTTTTTTTTATTTTATATAATGTGAAAATATCTGCAACCGCTATTCGAAAGTGAGTGCCCACTGAGTAAATCTTATCTAACTATATGTGACAAGTAACCTGAAGCATCGGAGGATATAAACCCATGACTTCACGGTCACAAGTCTAATCCCCACGCCACTATACCATCCCTTACGGACCAGTTAGTTTTTCGTAACAGAGAGTTAGAGAGAGAGAGAGAGGGGGTGAAACCGAGATAGTTGGAGCTGAGAGAGCAGAACACGTTCAGAGAGTGAGGGAGAGGGAGAGAAACCGCGAGCGATTCCGGTGAATTTCCTGGTAGGCTCAGTACCCTTTTCTTGTGCCGATTCCAACAGGCGTCGTGATTTGGAGTGAGGTGCCAACCTCCATCTTTGCAGCAGCATGGTTACCTCGGGTCATTCGCACAATGGGACTGAGCCTTACTTCGAAGTCCTCTCACCAGTTATAGAAACTAAGAAAGATTGAAGTTGCTGGACGCCATTCCGGGTGATTCGCGGGAGGAGAAAGTCGGAGCAGGTGCTGAATGCTGATGCTGATGCTGATGCTGATGTCGTTGCATCGCTGGAAAACATCGCCGACCGCCGGAAGACGCTCCGCCGGAAACTGAAGTCGTTGATTTCAGTTTTTGATTCTTGCTATGGGATAACACGAACAGGGACGGAAATGCCTTTTCAATTCAATTACCAAATCCAAGGCTTGTTTATTTGTTTGGTTATTTGGTTTTCATAATTTGCCTTTGGTTTAGTTGTGTTAATTTCTTTTTCTTTTCGATTTAATTTAATTTAAATTTATTCAATTTTACTGTTTCCGCTATTAATTATTTGATTGTATTTTATATACTAGATTTATTACGACAATAAATTCACAACAAATTGAAAATATTTTTACTAAAAAAACATAAATGAATATCTTTTATTGGATAAACGAAAATATTATAAAAATGCTTTTTTATTAGTTTCTTATCATATTAATAAAATGATATTTTTACAAAAAAAAATAAAAAAAAAAAAATATATAAATATTTTTAATGTTAAATATAATAATGAAAAAGTTAAACGTGACTCTTAGACGGACTGGGGGAGTATTTATTTCAATTTCAAATTACAACCAAATAAACCTAAAATTGTTACTGTAGATGTGAAAATTTAGGTAAAATAAATTTAATAAATAATTATTTTATAATAAAAATAATGATAAATTAAGATAAATAAATTGAATTAAAATTAAAAAATTATAAATTTTGAAATTTAAAATATAAAATATTTAAAATACTATATATATATAAAAAAAAAAGAATAAGAAAAAATTAAAGGAGTATAATTTATGTCATTTCTTTTTTTTTTATAATTTGTATAAAATTATTTTTATTATTTTTCTTTCAAATCTTCTTTGTCTCGGTCTCTAGGGCTATCGCCCTTAGACCAAGTGCAATAGTCATTAGAAAAAACTGTCTTAATTCTTACTTTTCATCTGACACATTTCACTTTAAAAATTAAAATAAAAATTAATACACAATCGCATTAAATGACTTGGATTTGGTTTCTCTCACCACCAGATTGCATGGATGCTGTACTTTTCGAACTTTCAAATTTATTTCATTGTGACTTTTTTGTTAAATTTTGTTTATTGTATATGCTCTTATCATCTTCTGGTATTTGAGGGTTTACAATATAAATAGTACTCCCTCCGGCCCCAAATATCCTGCAATATTTTTTTTATATATGTCCCAAATACCCTTCAATATTTCTTTTTATATGTCCCAAACACCCTGCAATATTTCCAAAATAAAAAATAATTAATTATACTTAATCTCTACCTCACACTTTATACCCTCACATCATCCAAATAAAAAAATAAAATATATATTTTTCTTTCCATCACATCTCTTAATTTCTAAATTATCCTATTTAATACTATCCACCTAAAAACCGTGCCAAAAGTAAATGTTACATCTTGTTTGGAACGGAGGGAGTAGAATTTTATGATATTGTTATTACTATTATAAAACTATTCATTTGTGTATTTTTTGTGTATATATATATATACGAAACAACAATAATTGTTTTTTTTTACATTTCTCCATGTTGAATCATCTATAATCATTTCACATTTCTACTCTTAATTCCAATTTTATCATCTATTTTGTGCAATTTCATTTTCGGTACAAAGACACATTTAAAATAATAAAAATAATAGTATGAATATGCATAAACGCAGACACACGTGTATGTGTGTGAGAGGGGTATAAATATAATATTCCCAATAGAAGCGCAGGCGCATGCAACATGTAATTAGCATTTCCATTCATTTTCAAGAGAAGATCAAAGCTGATGAGAAGATCAAAGCTGATGAGAAGATCGATCGATGTGGAGGACAGGCCATTGCTGCGTATCGTACGGTATGAGAGAATTTTCTTTTCTCCTCCCCTCCCCTGCCACTGACGCTGTCATCTTTTGTTTCACTCGTATTAATTTGTTCATTGCCTCTCTGCTTTAATTTGCTCTGCACATTAATTAATGGCTAATCGACGACGATTCACTCAGAGGTAAGCTACTCGGAGCCTACACTCGCTATTTCTGCACAGACAGACAGCGCGATTAGGTGTGCGAGGCGGAGAGGAAATTTGTAAACGGTACTGTGTATGGATTACCGAATTGTTTTGGTTTTCTGATCTATAATCACAATAATGATTAATCGATTGCAAGCGAATGTGGTTTCACAGTAGGATTTTGGTTTCGATCTTATTTCGTATTCATTTTTAACTGAGACCGCATTGGTTAGTTATTTTGGATGAGGTTCTTCATTGGAGCCTTCGCTTGAATTAAGCTTCGAGATGTCTAGAATTATGCTCATCTGGTGTTGATATTTCTAATTTGAAATTTAAATAGAAGTTGATTGACAAAAACGTTGCCTCACCAGTATCAATTATATGATAGTTTGGTCTAACAATATTATTCTGTTATAGACATCCCAGTCTGATTGATTGAATCTGCAAAATAATTCTATCTTGTGTCTATTTTAGTACGTTGTAGGTATTCAAATTATTCCACATTCCAGACTTCTCAGGACTTAGATAAAGAAAAGTAGCAAAATGGCTGCTGGAAGTAGCAGCCACAAGAACTTTAGAAAAGCTCTAGCAGCTATTAAAGACTCCACATCGGTTGGAATGGCCAAAGTAAACAGTGAGTACAAGGTGAGATTAATGGCATCAGTTTGCAGCAGATATAATTAGAAGCTAAGATTAATTTGTAGATTCTTCATATTGTTCTTAATCCTTTTCAGGCCCTTACTGTTTCGATTCTAAAAGCAACAAACCATGTAGAAGTCTTGCCAAAAGAAAAGCACATAAGAAGTGAGTTAGATACCTTGCTCATGCTCTTGTATGTTAGTTAAGATATATCGTTGCATTTTGGCTTACTAGATGATAATATTGAAACCTACTGATGATTTTTCTCTTATTAGGTATTCTTGGAGCAGTTTCAGGTTCAAGGCCTCGAGCAGATGTTGCTTATTGCCTGCACACACTTATGAAGCGCCTCGCCAAAACAAGTACTTGGGCGGTATGCTTCCTGATCTTTCTCTTCTCGCTTGATTGTCTTCCAAAATATCATTTCCTGTTTGGAATTTCTATTCTCAGGTTGCACTGAAAACTTTAATTGTGATACATCGTGCATTGCGGGAAGTGGATGAATCATTTTGTGAGGAACTAATTTACTTCAACAGAAGCAGAGGCCATGTGTTGAGTTTATTTCATTTCAATGATGGCTCAACCCCTGCTGGTATTCTCTACTCTTCTTCTTCGGTTTACGGCTTACCTCAATCACTCTACTGCATGCTACTGGAAGCTTACCTTCTGCTGTTTTCTGCTTTTAAGCGTGGTATTATTCTGCTTGGATACGTGCGTATGCACTGTACCTTGAGGAGTGCTTGGAGTGCTTTCGTGTGCTAAAGTATGATTTTCATAGAGACCATTCGGTATGTGCTTTGTCCAGCTATGGAAGACAAACAACTTCACATTTTGTTTTATTATCTTGTCTTTGTATTTATTATTTATCTCCAAAACAATAACTTTCTGAATCTACTAATCATAAATCATTCATCCTGACAGTTGTTTGCTCAAATCAAAATGTCATCTGCAATTTCTTGGCATCTTTCATATACTCATTTTTTTGTTCTGTTTCTCCTCACTGTTCTTACAATGATCTCCATAGGCTACATCAGCTTTAATTTGAGGTGTTCAACTTTAACCCTTTGTTCAATGTTAACAGAGAGCAAAAAAGATGGACGTTTCATCATTGTTCGAACATCTACCTGCTTTGCAAAAACTTCTTTACCGTCTTCTTAATTGCCAGGTTATTGAATAGGAGTCTTCATCTATCTCTATGCGTCTTTATAAGTGTAGTGATGACTTGGTTTAATTCTCTGACATTGTGCAGCCTGTTGGAGCAGCTCAATATAATTCAATCATCCTGTACGCTCTTTCGATTGTAAGCACTCGATAACTCTGATTTCCCTCTCTTCTTTCCATTTGTCCCATAAAAAAAAAAAAAATTTGATAGGGCCATAGTTTGTTAACTGATATTCATTCTACTTCAGGTTGCACTGGAAAGTGTGAGGCTTTATGTTGCAATAACAGATGGTGTACTTATTTTGGTTCACAAGGTTTCAGTCGTTTCCATTTATTATTTTCATCATAAGAGTTTAGCTATGGTACCAACAATTTATATCCGACAGTTTTTTGAGATGCCATATCAAGATGCCGTTATAGCGCTTGAAATATATCGGAAGGCAATGCAGCAAGTAAGCTTCAGGCACTTCATTCATTGTGTGTTTTAAGTGCGAATCGATTATCATGAGTATTATATATACACTCTGATACCAAATGTATATGTTATGTTGATACAGGCTCACAGCATGTCCGAATTCTTTGATACGTGCAAAAGACTCGACTTTGGAAGAGGACAAAAGTATGTCACCATTGAACAGGCAAGAAAAGCAACCCACGTTTCAACTCATTGCTTGTTGATTGCATTATCATTTCTAAATTTTCGATACTAGTCTGCCTTTTGCTCATTTCTTTGCCTGTTATATCAAACTGCAGCTACCTGCATCATTTTTAGCGGACATGGAAGAGTACATAAACAATGCTCGAGACACTGTAAGGCCTCCCTCAGCTGTATGTATGTACTATTACTCGAATGTCTTAAAATCCTTAGGACACCAATATCAGGCTGAAGACAAGAGTGATGATGCTCCAAGACTGCTTGAAGCTCCAGAAGCTAATTTGGAGATTGATCCCAACCAAACCGACGCTGACAAAGGATCGAAGCCTTCTGCAGACTCTCGGACAGGCACAAATCCTGCTGCACCATTGATTCCTGATCTAATGGTAGAAATTTCTAGATTGGTTTTAACTTGGGTGTGCATATATTGATCACTGTTCTAATATTACTTTCAGAGTTGGGACGAGTTGAGTCAAGACACAACCGAAAATAGTTCCCTCAATACTACACCACCAGGTTTGATTGTATGGTACATTGTAGTGAACGCCGTCTCTTTCCCATCGTAATACTTGTGAAGAAATTGCCCGATCCTACCATAGGTCCCGATGGAGATTCAAACAGTTGGGAGTCTATGCTACTTGCTGAAACAATTTCAGATGAATCTTCGGTGACTGAAAATACGGTTAGCTATTTCCTTTCCAAGCATGCCATGGTTTATGCAGCAAGAGTGAATTTTTAGATCTCACAACACACATTAGTTAGCTTCATTCTAGCTCTATTAGCTTTTAGTTACATCATATAAACTTTCTAGGAGTCAAAACTAGTGAAATCCAAATATTAAGCTTAATATCAAGCATAGACATGTGCTGAGGATGTGACCATGTTGGTTATTTTGGCGTAATCGAGTTTATTGGAAGCCACGAGACATTAAGACTAAGCAAACATTGAGAGGGAAATGCGTAGAGTGCGCGCTCAGTGAAACTAGTGTAAGGAATGATTCGTGTTTTGGAAATCGAACATGACCACGCCTGTAGTCTTTTTGGAATTTTGGATGATAAAGTGTGTTCCTTACCGATAAATATATCTCTTGTTCAAAATGGTATTTGAATTTGAAATTTAATTTGAACCAACATGATTTTTTGATGATACTCCTTCGATGTTAAAAATCTTGCTCTAAACCTCAAACTCGATGCAAATAAGAGTTTTTTTCTTTTTTTTTCTTTTTTCTAGCAAGACCATAAACTGTGAATCTATCCTATTGTTTGATTTTCTTCATTTTAGTTAGTATCTTAACATCCTAACAAAATATTATTCTAAATCTGTGTTTCTTTAATATGTTTCGAAAACTAAGGAACAGAGAGCTGCGCTGAACATTCTGGACAGATATGTGCTAGATAGCCTATACAATACTCCAAAGACACCGTCAAATCCGAGCGAGCATCATATGCAGAACATATCTGCCAATCCTTTTGAGGGTGACACCTACAACCAGATGTATTGTGACCAAAGTCTCACAATGAAGCCGAGTTTCATGCAGGCAGACGATCAACACCACATTTACGGCTACATGCAGATAGCCGGGATGACTCAACCAGTTGAGGATCCACAACAAGAACATTCGACAATGGCTGATTATGACGACTCCATGAATGTTCCAGGAATGACTCAACAGGAATCATCATCATATTCATTGTTCATAGGCCACGATTATATGCAGATGAGTGAAGTATCCCGACCCGAGTCTCCCATGCAAGAACATGAACAGGCAGGGGGGCATGAAGATTCGCCTCCCAACCCGTTCAGGAATCCATTCGAGGATCAATATTTTGCGCCGGAGGATGGTGCAACTAGAACTACAACTACTAACTGAGGCTGAGGCTGAGGCTGCCAACTCTTGTCTTCTATGAAGGTTTTTGTTAAAGAAAGAATAATGGCATTGGCAAAATAAAGGTTGGTGTTACTAAACCTTTAAAATTTCCCAGTTATGTAAGCAAAGTCCTCTATCATTTTAGAATTACATCTGTTCTTAGTTAGACAATATATACTGCACGTTCCGATCTCAACTATCTATCTATCTGTCTGCCTTGCAAAGAGAGATAGAAATAGTAGGCCATACCTATTTTGAAAAACAACTATCTATCTATCTGTCTGCCTTGCAAGGAGAGATAGAAATAGGTCAGGCCATACCTATTTTGAAAAATTAAAGCCAGAGGCTGAGGCTGGCATATTAACCACCTTTGATAAAAGGATTATAAAGTTTAAAAGCTTATTTAAAAGGCTATATAATAATTATTTTTTAATATTAATAAAAAAATATAAATACAATTATTATTATTATTATTATTATTATTATTATTATGTATAATTATAGTTAAAATAAATTAATCTTAATTAATTAAATAAATTTTAAAATAAGTCTAAATTAAATTGTATAAATAAATAGGTCCAAATAGCCCACGACACCGCCGGCCTATTTCCAACCTTACTTGCAAGTTGTAGTAAGAGCATTATTCTTACAGTGGGATAACTCAGCATCATATTAATTTCAAAATATTATAAGAAAAAATAAAAAAGAAAAAAGAAAATTAGAGATAGAAAAATGAAAATAACCCCAATACCCCATTACCTTAGTTTGTTGAGATTGAGAAATAAATGCAGTAATTCTCATTAACTGTGTAGAGAAATAAAATTAAAATTAAAAGACCTCAGTGCCTGTTATTTTTTCCATTTTTTACTATTTAAAAATATATTACTTTGATATTATAAATATTATATCTAAATTATTACTTAAATAGAAAATCACTAATAAATGGTGCAATACTTTTTACAGGTTCTCAGTTCACTAAAATATTCTCTCACTTGATTAATAGTTTTCTTCTAAATGATTTATTTTCACTAGCAATACATCATCTCTGTCTAGATCAATTCATCAAAATAGTGATATTTTTCCTTCTAGCTCTACCAAAAAGAACCGAGGATGCTATCATTTTTCTATAATGTCATAATTTCATTCTTTGTACGAAAGCACTCATAGCTAATCTAATAATATACAATATATAATATATCTATATATACTGTACCCAAAATCCATACTTTTAAGAAGCCCATACTATGGGCATTTCTTCTCGAATATTTGCAATACATATATATATATATATATTATAATATATAGCTAAAAAAATGTGTACATATTATGTCATTTAGTTGAAATTAATACATATAAATATGCATGATAATATATATTGAAGATGACCTTGAACCCCAAAACAAAATAAAAACAGCAATAATTCAGTCATATAAGTAGCATTCAATAGCAAAGTTAATGATCAATCATGCACACTCTCCCTATGGCTTTGAAGAATAGATAATTAGGCACCAAGACAGCAACTACCTCTATTTTTGAAATGAAATCGAGTAGGAGCCCGTGTTCGGATCTTTAACAGCTTTGAAGTTGTCTACACTCATACCGAACCGCCCCAGGATCGAGTTCCCCATATCTTTCAGTTTTCCTGCACTCAAACAAATCAATATATATATATATATATATATCCCCGTTTCCTTGTGCAATATTGTAACTCAAAAAAATTGTCAGACTGTAAACCAAATCGTAGTTCTCATTTCCTATGGTGCATACAGATCAGATCAGATTAGACGAGACCCGAGTGAAAAAAAAAAAAAAAAAAAAAAAACAAAAAAAAAAACATGTTTTGGATGATAAGGCTAGCAAATGATGGTACAAAACATGCTCCTGGAGAATCTAATGTGAGAACTATATTAGCTTTACACCATACTAGCTTCTGTATGCAGAGACCGTGTTCAATTATTTGATATCTATTATAGCAGTACCAATAGATAACTTTTCATGCTTGAGCTAAAGTATAAAATATGTAAAATTTGGGCTTAGCTTGATGAGCTCAAACCAAGAAAACCTATAAACAAAACAAAAATAAAAATAAAAATAAAAATTTTAAGTCTCCCTATCTTCTTGTTACTTAATCAAAAATAACTTGCTCGACTCCATTAACATATCAAGCACAATGATTCATTTGCTGTAATTAGTGACATCAAACTTCCAAGTAGCTCGAGCCCATTAACACCTGGTTGAACCCACAACCGAGCCTTCAATAGGGAATTTTTTATGCCCATTGTGACTGTTTGTACATGAATTTGCAATTCATGCCATGTGAGCAAAATTTCAATCGCAATGTGAAATGGCAAAAATCAAGGTTGATAAATTCAGTCCAAAATTCAAAATTTCTTCAGCCATTGAGAATCTTCGTTTGTCAATTTAATATTCTCTACTCCAACAATTTACTCACTTTTCCATAGAATTAAATCAAATTAGACTAATCATTTCTTAGTGCAGATTTCAATGTCTGCAATAAAGCATATGCATGACTACATGTATATCCATGCCCTTGTAAATTAAGATCAGAAAAACTATAACTAAATGCTCAAGCAATTTTTTAACTGAGCCCAATGCCAGAGAATCATTAGTAGAAATATCAGATGCATCTTATGCCCATCCTGACTTCGCTTTTAATGGTTTTACGTAATGAAGCAACCGTAATGAGGACACGATAACTCGCTAGAAATTGAGGGAATAGGTATAGTAACTCAGTAAGACAGTAAAAGTAACTTTACTCACCAATCATCTCTTCTTTCATCTTCTCCCGCTTCTCTTCTGCCAGTGGCTTCAGTCGGATGATTGTTCTCTTAGCTTGGTCATTCAATGGATCCAATTCCAGTATTTTATTCATATCTGCAAAGAAAGAAACGGAAAAAAGCATGCATCTAAAACCAGTGTCAACCATAAACAAAAATCAGTGGAAATGAACAGTTCTCTTATGCCTTTGCACGATCCACAACTCCAGATTAAATATAGAATCACTCCTAAGCTCTTATGACAGGTTGTGCCAAACGGTAACAGTTCTGTTATACTACATAAGTTATGCGTAAACTTTACCAGCAATAGCCTCTTCATATTGTTCAAGCTTCTCACGAGCCTCCCCTCTTCTGACAATAGCTTTCATGTATGAAGGATTCAGCTCCAAGGCTTTTGTACACTCCTTGATGGTCTCCTCATATTTACCCTGAACATCAAAATGGCAGAAAATTGATTTAAGAAAGATGATGCATGTGATTCAAATCACTTGGAAACAACATTCATATGTTAATAGCATCCATAAGACCAATATCCCTATATAGTGTCACTTTAGCCTATGTTTTCAGAAGAAGGTGGTCGAGATTGTTTATGCACCTTCTGGCTCATATATTTGAGGCGTTTTTAAATTTGATTAATTGTTGATCATACATATCTGAATTGTCAAATCTACCAGTGCTTCGTTGCAGTTCTATCTATAATACACTCAAAAACCTAAAAAGTAATCCGTTAATTCAATCTGATCAAAAGAGCCAGCTGCTCATCTACTTTTGCTTCATTTCTCCAGCAATAATAAATGAAGTATCTTGATGAACTTCTCCAAAATTATAGATAATGGTAAAGGGAACCAAATGGTAATATTATAAGGTATATATATATTGTTGTTGAAATTTGCAAAGATGTCTGCCAGGACCATGAACGAGAACCCCTTTTTTTTGTTGCAGTTGATGAACTAAAAATGCTTATCAAAGAGGCAAAGAAAACTCTAAGAACATCGTAGTCACAAAAATGCAGTTACTGTTTTTCTTAATTAAAAATCTACAGCCATAAGAGCAACATACCAGTTTGGAGTAGCACGCAGCTCGATTGGCATGACAAATGGATCGTAAATCCGTAGATGAAGGACCATCAGGTGCAATTTGTACGGCAAACTCATACTTTGACAATGCCTCTTCATATTGTCCATCTTTAAACAATGAATTCCCCTCAAGTTTTGCATCATTTGCTCGCTCTAAGGCTTTCTACTTCTCAAAAGAATAATACAAGGTAAGAGAACACCGTAAGGAAGAAACTAGATTATCACAATTTTCCTACGTTTTTCTATTGAGCTTTAACTACTCTGCCAGGAAATCAAATTTCAATACAAATCAAAACCTAACACTACAAATCAAAACCTAACAGTGATCCTAAACGCGAAACATCGAATATCGACATTTTTACCTCATTGTCTTCAGCATCGCCGGCGGCGTCAGCCTTCTCCACCATCTTCTTTTCCTTCTCCCCACGGCTTACCTCAGCATCGCCGTTTTCGGAAGTACTAGCGCCATCTCGATTATCATGATTCCGAGACGGATGATTAGAATCCGAAGCGTCGTCATCATTCAGCTCAGTATCACTGGCGGTCTCGTAGCCTTCCGAACCATATCCCGTTGCCGAATCCGGGCGTGATTTGGAACCGTTTTCGCCGGGGGATTCCTCTTGGATCACCGCCATACGCAAAACTAATAATACCCTAAACTCTCACTCTTTTGTTTTCAAGATGGTTTTATAGTTTTCTGGCCATTTCTAGAAATTCCTCTTCTACCGACGACTTTGACTCTGCCCTTTGCCCTGAGGCGACGTCGTTTTGGGATCCGCGTTCTATTTTCTTACCCTATCATAATATTTAGAAAAAACGAAATTTAAAAATTAAGGGTGTGTTGCGTATTACTCTTGTTTTTTCATTTTGGTGTATTGCAAAAAAATTGTTTTGTTTCTTTTTTTAATAGCCGTGGTCTCTATTTTATAACAAAATTATTCCTACATTTTTACACTACCTCTAATTATTACTTTAACATTCTACTTTATATCCACTTTCAATTAAATACGTGTCAACTCTCAAATAAGACACTTCTTCTGGGACAGAGGAAGCATTAGTTTGGAAAAAAAATTAGTTTAAATTTGGTATTAAAATTAAATCTAGCAATGGATTCAGTTGTGTCGGGTTCGTGTCGGTTGCATACTTAAATGAATTAAATCACTCAATTCTAATCTCATATGTTTATTATGGGTTCGTGTTAACCCGTTTATTATCGTGTCGGGTTCGTGTTCGATTCGTGTCGGTTCGTATACATAATTAAATCAAATTCTTTTGATTCAAATCTAATTATTTTTGTAGAATTGTTTGTGTTATGTTATTTTCTGTTGGTTGTAATGTAATGTGTACAGTGAATTAACTTAGATTATTTAAAATTTAACTTAGTTTAAATTAATATGTAGATTAATTATCAAATTAGAACTCTTATATATATATATAATAAATATATTAATTAATATTAATATATTATAATCAAGTTGTCGAGTCAGGTTCGAGTTGAAAGTCTCAACCCTAATCCGACTCATTTATTATCGTGTCGGATTCGTGACACCTCGCATATATAATTGGGTCAATTTTTTACCAAACTCAATTATTTCGTGTTGGATTGTAGTGTCGAGTTAGTTTTTGCCAACTCTAATTAAAATAATGTTTAATGAAATATTTGTGAAAGAAAAAAAAAATGGATATAATAGTAAAAAAATTAGAAATTTTGGGTAAAAAAACACACCCTAAATATTACTTGGTAAGTCATATATAATGCTTTCTCCATAAATAATTGACTTGTTGTTGTAAGATATTTAAGATAATAACATTTAATTAATTATTAATAATAAATTATAATACTATTTTATTTATTTTATATAATTAATAATATCGATAGTTTTAAAATAAATTTAATATATAATTTAAAATAAATTAGAATATATTTTAAATATTTTAAAAATTAAGCGCAATAAAAAATATATTAATATGAATTTTATTTTGTAAAGAATAAAAATAAGAATAAAAATAAGTTTTTTATTAATAATTAATATAAATTAATTTTATAAATATGTAGAGTTTTAAATATTGATAAGAATATTTGATTTTAGGAAAAATATAAATAAAGAGGTTTTGAGGTCTTACTCGTTAATTAAATTAATTTATATTTGTTAAATATTTTTTAATTTAGTAAATTGTATCCAAAATATATCAATTATTTTAAAAATTACAAAAATAAAAAAAAATATTTCAATTAAAATGGAAGGAGGCGGATCCGGCTGATCCAATCCGAGCCGTTCATCATAATTAGATTATGATGAACGGTTTAGATTATGCAGGGGTAATATAGTAATTTTATTTTAAAGACTTATAGGGGTATAGGAACACTTCGTTTTCAAATCGTTAATCTTCCCCCTTCAAATTGTTTTCTTCAATAAAAATCCTCCATCGCGCTAGCTTATTCTCTATTCTCAAATCGCCTTCTTTAACGGAAATCCTCCATCATGTTCGTTTGTTCTCCATTCCGTCTTCAAATCGCCTTCTTCAACGAAACCCTTCCCTCGCGCGTCGTCTCCAATTCGTCTTCTTCAACTATCTGTACCGTCCTTCAAATCGACGACACTAGGCGCGTCTATGGAGGCGATTTTCGGTAAGTTCTGTTTTTTCCATTGAGCAGTTTATGATAAAAGTTCATCTTCTTCCATGTTACCTATTTTGAGTTTTGATTTTTCCATTGTGCAGTTTAGGGTAAATGGTTAGGGCGAGGACGAGGTCGTGGACAAGATAAAAATTAAGTGTGATGACTAATTTGTTGATTTTGATGAATTGAATTTGAAGAGATTGTTGGTATTGATCGACCGATTTAACTTGAATAGATTGTTGGTGTTGATCGATTGATTGAATTTTAATTGGTGATTGATCTGTTGATTGTATTTTCGCAACAATTACTGCTTAATACTCATGCTTCTTGTTAAACATAAGATGCTGGCTGATACATAGTAAAATGCTTGACTTAGTATATATAAATGCCGGCAGGTTTAGAATGAATGCTGCATGTTTCTAGTGGAAACAAGGTCTGTTTCCGCGTGCTAGCAGAAACAGATCTTGTTTTCGCTAGAAACATATTTTCTTTTGTAAAAATTGGCTACCCTCCGCGGAAACATGCTTGGTTTCCATGAGCACGCGGAAACAAGTTAATTTTTTTTTTTTAAAAAAAAAGTTGCATGATTTCAAGAATAATTTTTTAAATTGACAATTAATTTTGCAGCATTTTCTCGAATAACATTCATATCATTTGATAGTTCATTGACATCCTAAATACACTTGTAGAAAATGCTTATTGATACTCAATAAGATGTTTATTGGCAATTAATTTTGCAGCATTTTCTCGAATAACATTCATATCATTTGATAGTTCATTGACATCCTAAACACACTTGTAGAAAATGCTTATTGATACTCAATAAGATGTTTATTGGTATTCGACAAAATGTTTGGTCTTGTATACGTAAGTGCTTAATATCAAATATTCAAAATACTTTGTAGGTAAATCCTATATGAACTGACAAAAAATCATTTTTTTTCTTGGATTTATCCTACTGGTTATTTCTCTTATTCATCATTTGATGTTTCTTTTGTCTCTTAAAGTTGCTGATTGACATATTTCTTTTAATTTTTCCTTTTGGATTGTCTCTTGGCTTCAATATGAAATGGTCTGCAGTGGTTATATTTTGTACTTCTCTTGTAGCATGAAGAATCGATTAATTTAATCTCATATATATATTTCAATGAATATAAAATATATACAAAACGTAACTGTTATTTTCATCCGTTGGCATTCCTACATACAGATTTGGGCATGTAACTATGTTGTGAAGCAATTCATTGAATTTATGTAAAAATGAACTGTAATTCTTCGGGCTCAGATGCTATTAACTTTGCAGAATTCATGAAAAAGTGGCACAATGATATGTAGCTTGTGTGGTGCTACTGTAACATCTTCCTAGCATCTTTTCTCCATCGATTCAATATGTATTTGTTTGGGATGTTTTTGAACTGTGCACACCCTGTTTATACTAATACATCCATCGTGTGTATTGAATGACAACACAACATTCTAGAGTTTTTCTATATATTGCACGTGCACTCAATTGAAGATTCTTGAATATTTACGCGCACAAGATGTTGATCGCTTGTCTTCTCCATGTTATATATAAAATATGTTGTCTTTTCATCTAAGTACTGTGTTATGAATTCAAAGAATCTTTGGTGTTGCTCCTGAAACCATTGAGAGACATTCGGTGTGTAGAATATAGCTGCAGATTTCGTTAATGAGTTGAACATATGATTTGCAACCAGCCGTCTATCTCGTGCGAAAAAATCTTGTTGTTCCTTTTTTTTCTCTATGATTCTTCACCACTCTTTGAAATTGATAAAAAGAAAAAAAAATGAACAATATTACTGTCTGGCTGTAAAAACCTACTCAGCATATTCAGAAATTGATAAAGAAATTGAACAATATTACTGCCTGGCTGTACAAACCTGCTCAGCATATTCACGTTCATTCAACAACATATATGAAGAATACACTCATCATACTAATCTATTAATTTGAGCAGACGGGCCAAGTAAAGAAGCATATTCACATTTTTTGTTCATCCGACAACTATTTTCACAAATCATACAATGATCTGATTGGTAGTCTGACTTCTTGATTTGTATTCGCAATGATTAAATGTGATGTATTAATCCTATGATTGGATACAAACATGTGATTATGCTTTGTAGGATGTAGATCATGATTGTAGTTGTCTTTAAAGTATGTCACTTGTACTTTGCATTCTTCTTGTCAAACTAAAGTTGTATCTTTGAATTACAGTTTGTTCCGTTTCATGACTATGATGCATGGTTTTGATCATTCTTAACTCACTGCATTGTTTTGGATGAATCTTAGGATTGCTTGGTTTCACATTGCTACCCTATTTGAACTCTGTTTTGTTGCAACAATACTCCATGTATTGCATCTAGTGTGATTTTTTTTGAAATTTTTCTGAATTTTTATCCTCATTGAAAAACCCCTATTGTGTGCATATTCACAATAGAAACTGTATGCATCATCCGGTTTTGTAAATTCCAGTGCATGCCAATCTATGGACTCTGCACACATGGAATACTAAATTCTGTTAATCAAAATGATAACCACCATATTTCAATATGCTTTCAAATAGATGGCAAGATGCTGATATCTGTATCAAATACAATCACATATCATGTGACGCAGCCCAAGTAACTAAACTATACTAACCGAAACTTAAAACTAAATTCAAATAAAAAACTAAGTAAAAAAAAAGATATTACCGGTATCCGATTCGTCAATCGATCGGATGTGAACCCAAGCGTTGACTAGACCCAACACTTCTAAACCAATGGAGACTCGAACAATTTGGCTAGAAACTCCGGTCGGTTTCGGAAGCCACGAACCCAAGGAATCAACCCAAGGACCCGATTTGAGAATGATACGCGTATGCAAGGGTAACCCTTGCTCACACACTAATTTCAATATAATGGAATAAAAAGAAACTTTTAATTGATATAATTTTCAAGGTGTTTAACAAGTGAAGCCAAGTGCCTTATTTATAGGGGAGGCTAGCTTGGCAAAAAGACTCTACAACCAAGGGACAAAATTATATATTAT